TTCTCCGTTTCTTTCCCTTCCATGTAATAGAGAACTCTGGTTGGTTCAATTTCTTATGCCTCATGTGTTAATTATCGAATAATAATTAAAAAAATAATAATCGAATAATAATTAAAGAATAATCGACTGTGATTGGTCAATTTCTTACTCTTACTTCTTACTCCGTGTATTGTAGACGGGCCTTTATGCGTTATGCAAGAGTCTGTGCTCCCCGCTTGAGCATGCGCGTTGCGAATTTTAGGCTTCTATACCTTTCTCTCTCACACCTATCTTGGCTTCAGCCTGAGCGTCCTATTATCATTCCATGTGTATATGTTCTAAGGACTGATGGGTCTGGGCTGGGGGGGGACCCGCTTCACGCATGTTTCAGATCTATACTCCCTATAACGGAGCTCCTAGGGAATCATGGAGTAGGTTGGATCGACTGGCCACGTTTATCCGGTTTCTCCGGAACCTGGGCCAACCAAGTAAGAAGAAGCAGCTCTTAGCTCTTATGTCGATATGAGCTTTTATAATCTCAATTGTAATGGAGGAAAGTTCTTTCACCATGTCCTTAATAGTGGCCGATAGTGATTAATAGTGGCAAATTTCTACGATTAATATTTCGCTTTGTCGAACAGAGTAACGCTTTTTTTTCAGACAGATTCTTTTCGGATAAAAACGCATTGAAGAAGTATAATTTTTTCGATTTTTTAGCTGGTGGAGCTAAACATTACCTTTATAATAATAAAGATCTCCTTTGATAAAAATACCGTAAAATTAGTTCTTTATTTAATTAAATTATATGTGGTGACAAAATGAATCACTTATTACATACGGTTTTATTTTTGTTTATCATTACAGTAAGTAATAGAAAATATAACTTTGTACATAACAAACTAATCGTGTATCTGAATTTTATCTTCGACATATCTCATATTTTTCTTATTTTAAAACAATTTACATATATGTATCATAAATAAAAAGAAAATTACTGTGAAATTTGTCAGAATCATCACAATAAGTACTAATAATTAATTTTATAGATGGACATTGCTGTCGCAGAGTTTTCAGCGAATGATTGTAAGATTTTGGGATTTAATAAAGCCAATGTGCTCTGCTCGACCTGCAAACATTTTGCAGAATCTGATCTAGAAAAAATTTAGTATGTAAAAATCTATTCAATCAAAAATTATTACGAGTCTCTACAGTTTAAATGTATCTCCTTTTTCATTTCTAGTACTACATGTAAGGAATGTTGTCTAAAAGATAACGATTACGAATTGTCTGGATCAAAACGCTATCCCAAAGCTATCCTTGAAGTGTGTACGTGCAAATTTGGACAATATCCACAAATACAAGGTATCCTACAATCACTTCTGATAAAAGTAATATAATATTGCAATTTCAAATTCAATATAAATCCATGTCTATTACATTTCTTTTAGCTTTCATCAAAAGCGACCGACCAAAAAAGTATAAGAATCTCAACATAAAGTATGTAAGAGGTTTAGATCCGATCATTAAGTTGTATGATGCAGAAAATAAAGTTGAAGATGTACTCGATATACACAAATGGGATACAGATTCTGTAGATGAATTTCTGTCGACTCATCTTTCTAAGGATTAAAATTAGGAAATATTACATTACATGATCGTTTCTATTGAACTCTTAATAAACTATCCTTTTAATATGAATATTATTACATATACAGTACATATATGATTATATATACTTTATTTTCTAATATTGTATGTATTCATATTGCCTATATTTGTCATCCCTAATCATACAAATTCTTTTCTTAACCATTCAAATCTTAGTATAATCTCATATTTCGATTTTTTCAAAAATGTATAGCACATTTTTTAAATAGATACAAAAAGATCCTTTCTTTATCAAAATGTCCTATCTTTACATATAACGAGATCACAATTGATCTGTTTCTTCATACATTGAAACATTATTCTGTTTTATTATTAAAAATGATAACACTCATGCATGCATTTAAAATAAAATACAAAGTTGAAAATCTATAACATTAGCACTTGCAATATCTCTTATATATAAATGTTACAATAAAAAATCATTAATGATCTTTTAAAGAAATTGAATTAAAAAATTAAGATGCATTTACTTTGTTTAGGAACATAATAAGGTTAGAAATTCTTGTGCCTTTACCATTTATATTAAAAAATGGTATAAGAATATTCTTATGGATATATATTGTGTATGGAGAACAAAGAGACAAATACCTAAATTTGACATTATATATTTCGATTACGTATATCATATTAGTTGTGTTCAGAATTCCATGGAGTTTCTTCTTTACATTTAAAACAACGTCCTTTTTCTTGGTATCATATACACAACTTCTAATTAGTGGCATATCCAATATTTATCATTCGTGTGCGCGTGTGTGTCTGTGTCTGTGTGTGTGTGTGCGCGCGTGCGTTTGTGTGGTCAGCAATGGTTTTAAAATATGATATAGCATATTCGATTTACCGACTCGACCCGACTCCAAGTCAACGATCTGTTCTTTTTCGCTGCATTTCTTGCACACTTCAGCTCTTCTTTTGCAGCTAAACAGAACAGATCATTGACTCAGAGTCGGGTCGAATCAGTAAATCGAATACACTAATAGAAAGGTTATTATGATTGTAGCTAAAGAGAAGGGCTCATCATTTATATAAAAAAACTCTGAATCTCTCCATGGTGCTAATGTAGTACGGGAGCGTTTATATTAGCCGTAATCTGTAAGAATCGACTAATCACGATCAAAAATATTCCCTTCTCATTCAACTGTAAGAAGGGAATACTCGAAGGTGATTGGTCAATTTTTACAGATTACGGTCATGATGTAAGAAAGCAAGTGGTGCATTCGGGGAGACGCTATTAGCGCGACTCTGTTATTCTATCTTTGTTGTTTATTAGACATAAAACAAGGATAGAATGACAGAAATAGCGCTAGTAACGTCTCCCCGAACGCACCTAAGGCACAGTATAAGTAAGAACAGTAAATGGGCCTTCTACAATAAGCCTCAAGTCAGAAGTTTTAGACGATCTTAAGTCATAATCGGTGAAGTTGGCCAATAGCCAACTTGAACGACTTGGTTAAGACTGGTTAAGACTTCTGACGTTCTGATTTGCGGCTTATTGTAGAAGGTCCATAAAGGCCACTTTCACCATCGTCGGTTTACTTATAGCGTTTTCGAATGGAGTGGGTTTGAACCCGACCTGGGTCGGTTAACTCAAAAATATAATGACCTCGTCCAATCAGAAATCGAAATAGAGCACGTGACATCATTGATCCGACCCGGGTCAGGTTCAAACCCACTCCATTCGAAAACGCTATTAATCAGCCTAGTATTAATTGTAATGAAATAGAACGAGATAGACCTATTTCTATCTCTTTCTATTTCATTACAATTACTAGGCTGGTTAAGTTAATTGAGCTTGGTGAAAGTGGCCCTAAGTAAACTCAGTTAAAAATAGTGGCGTTCTGCACAATTTTCAACTTGGCGCACCAATCAGTTTCCCTATTCCCTAAGATTATTCGCTCTTATTGGTGCTCACGCACAATTTTCAACATGGTCGAGTGGCACATAAAGATCAAATGAGCCGACACAGAGTGTACTTACTGTTCTTACTTATATTGTGCCTAAGGTATACCATTCCCGAGGATGCGTAATAGAAGAGTGAATTTGAAACCAAAAGAACATAGTATAGAAAAGGTCGTTTTTTGCCTACTAACGGAAAAATGTAAAACAGTGGATCTTATAGATTTCGACCTGCTGAACACGATGGTGCTATTAGTTTTCATTGAAAATGCTGGGAACGTCGTCATTTTTCGAGTAAAGTTTTATATTTCACCCTCTCTCTGTAATACATGATTTTCAATACGAGTGGATTATTTCAGTGAAACTTACAGCGTTTTCGATTGGGAAAAAGTTAATGCGCACTCAGTTCACACCAACACTGGACAAGTTCCATGGGTTGCACTGAATTGTGCAAGTTCAAAAGAACACGCTAAGATTTTCAGTGCTAAAGCTGAAATGCCATTTCGAGTTGTAAGATTGTAAGGACTTGACTAGACTGCAAGAAGAATGCAGAAAAATAATTTCGACATCTCATGTTCATAACTTTAAGTAATGATTTTTTACTATATGTAATTAAATAACATATAACAATATTAGGAAACAATATTAGTTTAACAATATTAGGAACCTTCGCACACTAACTTTCACATGAAATAATCGACTCGTATCGAAAATCATGTTAATTACAGAGAGGGTGAAATATAGGATTTTAACTCCAAAAATGACGATGTTCCCCGCATTTTCAATGAAAACTAATAGCACCATCGTGTTCAGCAGGTCGAAATCTATAAGATTCACTATGTTTTACACTTTTCCGTTAGTGGCCAAAAAACGGCCTTTTCTATACTATGTTCTTCGATTGGCTATTCAAATATACCAGCGCTATTATACGCAGGAAAGTGCATAGAGGTCAAAATTTGAGTGATTGTTTCCAATATTGCTATCGCCATTGGGTGCATTCAGTACTGCGACTGCTCACTGAGCGCTCAGTGAGCTCTTGTATCTGTTTGATCTATATTTTTAGTTCTAATGGAATATGCCAATCAAATGCAAGAGCTCAATGAGCTGTTGTAGTACTGAATGCATTATGTGCAATGGTACACTTTGTATTCTTACATCATGGTTACGGTCAATATAAATGCTCCCTAAATTGTTTATGAACTTATAATTAAGAACTTTCTAGCAAATAAGCTGATAAGTTATCTATCGTCACTGACGTCAAAATAATGTTTTTAACGTTAAAATAACGATAAAAACATTAGCTTGTTTGCTCTGAATTACCATCAATTATCATGTACAATCTTGGTCAAAAATATTAGGCACTTTATTAATCATTATTTAACGTTTAATTTAAAAAATTGATTTATGTCACTTGCTGTTTGAATATACTCTTAATGCATATGCGTAGTCTATTTTTACTTTACGTGCCTTTACGACTATTTACTATAAGGGAGAAAGACAATTAATTTCTAAAGATTGTCGAATCACATAATGCTATTCCTGATCAAAAATTGAACCAAAAAGTTCTCTACCATTTTACGATTTTCGTGATAGTTAATGATTGGGCAGCGGGATACGCACTTATTCGGCAATATTTAGAAATTAATATTTCGTTAACCATTGTGAAAATTGCAAAATTGTGGAGAACTTTTTAACTCAATTTTTAATTAGGAATAACGCTATATGATTAGTGTCCGCTATTTAAGAAACACCCTGTATATATATGTATATGTATGTACATTATGCATACGTACATACATAAAAACTTTCACAGTTCCACGATTATGTGAACAAACAATATTAAGTTTATAAGACTAAGATTAAAAGCTTAAAAAAAGATTTTTATTGATCTGCAAATTGTGTGTATACGTGTATACTTATTGAAGACTCGGAATAGTAAACAAAGCAGTAATTGTGACTAATAGTTACTAGATCTTGCAAAAAATGGCGTTGCAATATGTTAAATAAGGACAGATATATGCGTTTGAGTGAGACAGAACAATAATTTAAGAATTTAATTTAAAATGTCACTGTTATATATATCGACATTTTTAATTTGGAACTTAAAAAGCCTTCGATCGACATCGATCAAGTTCGGCCGTCGCTACAGCAAACAATATAATTTCTGATTAATAAAAAGAATAAGATGCCTAATATTTTGACCAAGGGTGTACGTTCTGTTATAATGTTAATGTTAATATAATGTGCAATATTAATATGTATATTAATATCCCACGCTTCGGTGATAAAAACGTGTTCTATTCATTAAAACTTATCCGAATGAATATGAGATACGGAATTAAATTTTTCTTATGTTAACGTTATTTTTTCTTACGTTTACTTTCATATTTCCATAAATCGCGGCATTATCTTATCGCCGGGATCTCCTGGCACGCGGACCACCGCGACCGCGTACGAATCCGCGACCTCTAGGTTGTTTCATTTGAGGACTATGATTTCGTTCTATCTTCGGTACAGACTTTTCAGGTTCGACATGTTCTTTTTCATCTGCCTCATCGATCAAGTTACCCATTTCAACATCATTGTCATTATCCATATCTGCCCACACTTCGTCAACTGAAGGTTTTACATCCTGTGTATTAATAGCGTTTTCCACGGCGGTCTCTTTCGTATCCTCCTCCGCTTCGCGATTTTCCTCCTCCTCCGATTCGGCAGCATCGGCTTCCAATGGATCATACTTCTCCTCTCCATCCGATCTTTTCGGTGTCACATTTACATTATCAGCACTACTCTCGTGCTGCTCCTTCGGCTTGTCATTATCATCATTTTCATCATGACTAATCTTGCGACGTTTCCAATGTACATCACATTCCTCCTTAACTTCAACATTTTTCTCATTCTGTAAACACAATACAAAAATTTTACAAGATTTTGGAAACGAGTTTTTTTTATTTTATTTTACGGAATATAATTACTTACGTCAGTTTGTTCAGTCTCTTTCGATTCTGTAGCTGGCACGTTTAATGTTAATGACTTTACTTCTGCCACAAAGTTCCGATAGTGCGTGAT